GAGCTGGGGGGCTCCTATTGACGCACAGGGTTGAGGCAATGCCCCCACAGCGCTTCCCCACCTGCCCTTGCTTGAGTGCGCTGGGCTTGGAGCCAGTGGACGTGGGTAGAGGCAGCAAAGGGGAGACTGAGCTGGGGCATGTCCCAGCCCACCTCCTCCAGAGCTCGTCCCTGTCGCTGGGGTGGACAGAGTGGGGCCGTGAGGAGTGCCCAGGCATAGTTAGCAGCTCTCAAGCCCATTAGCCTCAGTTTACCTCTTTTTTGGGCAGGCCCATCTCTGTGTCTTGTTCACCCCTTTCGTATGCTCCCTGGCTTGGGCTTTCTACCAAGCATTGTCCCCTCTCTTCTCTCAAGTGCTCACCTAGGGTGCAGCTCTCAGAGCCTGAACACCCCAGCCTTTGCACCATTGTCTGCCTCTTTGCTCCTTCCCTCCCACCTGTAGAATCACAGAACCATTTAGGTGGCAAAGACCTTTAAGATAAGATTGAGTCCAACCATAAACCTAACACTGCCAACTCTACCACTAAACCCATCTGCATATCTTTTAGATACCCCAGGGATGGTGACTCCACCACTTCCCCGGGCAGCCTTTTCCAATGCCTGACAACCCTTGCAATGTCATGGTCACCAAGGGCAGAGGCAAAGCAGATCTGTCCCCTCCAACTTTTTAAGTCCTCAAAGAGCTCCAGAACCCCTAGCCCAACAGTTCCCCCTTTGGTACAGCTCATTCACCCAGAGCTTGGTGCCCCACGCAGGGCTCATCATCTGTTGTTCACCACCCTAGTCCACAACTTCCCTTTGGAAACCCTCCCCATCTTTACCACAGTACAGGTTGATGATTAAGCAGCCAGTTCTTGTGCTGAGACCCAGAGCAATGCCTGATCCCGTTAGGGAAGGGTGTGCTGCATTTCACCCCATTTCCCATTTGCTTTGGCACCCTTCGTGCCTCTCCTTTCCTAATCTAGCTGGGGTCCTGGGGAAGCCTCCAACGCGGGGTTGGGGAAGCGTTGCCCACACACAGCGCTGCCAGCACTGACTTGATCCTGGACAAGATGCTCCCTTGGCGGAGGGAAACGGGGCCACCTCCCCTCCCTGGTGGTGAGTGCCTCTGGTCAGGTCTGGCTGTGTGGTGCTTGCAGCTCGTGTGGTGCCCAGAAGATGGTGGCCAGGGCTGTGGTTGGCAGTCGGTGCTCCTGGGAAGGTCTCACCCATCTGACCTTCAACATGAGATAAGAAAAACATAGGTGGCTGACAGCTCCTCTCACCCAAGGCATAAATCTGAGATGGAAAAACTCTGCTGATGAACCCAAGACAGCGCAATGCCATTGAGGGTTAAAATTTCGTATTTAGTATCTTGGTTAGTACAATTATTAAGGATTTCACAGTAGTACAGTCATTATTATTACTTTTTTTTAATCATTTGGTTTTCTCTGCACCTGCCTACGCCAAGCCTGGGTTGGTAGCACCTTCCTGAGGGTTATCCTCAAGCCACCAGTGATAGCTATGTCTTAGTAAACCCCCACAGCTCACACACGGACATGAGGATGGTGCACTGAGGGAGATCAAAGGTCTGTCCAGCCCAGGCTCACTGAAGGGTGATCAGAAACAGGGCAAATACACATGATGCTTCCAAATATTTTTGGAAGCCAGCAGCGCTGCCTCCAGTTGATAGCAAGAACTGTGTGTGTGTGCCATGCTGGCTGCCGTGGTGCTGCTGGCAGCTCTGACCACCCGGTGATGGGAGCTGCCCCTGGGGCCGCAACTCCCACGGAAGGAAAACCAAGATACCCCAACACCTACTGCTGCTCCCTTGCCAAGAGAGAGATTTGTGCTGTCACGTGAGAGAGTCAGGGCAGCCTTTTCTGCCTGTGCTTTGTCCCATCTCCTCTTAGGGACATGTGGGACACCTCCTTCAATGCCTTCCCTGGTTGCTGGGTTCCTGCTTTTTCTTTCTTCTGCTCTACAGAGAGGTATCAGCCTTGGTCTTCTGGCCTCACCTCAGAAAGCCCCGTGTGGGCTCTGCTTCCGCAGGGGTTGCATCCCCTGGCACAAGCCCAGCCACCCCAGGCCACCCAAGACACCCCACTCGCACAAATGCCCACCGCAGCGGGGTGACAGCTATTGTTGGTGTCGGTCGGGCTTCCTCATCTGCCCAAGCTTCCCTTTACCTTGGAAGAGACATCCAGCGTGCCGGTCTGGTTGTGTCATCTGCATTCTTCCTCCCTGGAGGGGCAGCCCAGCCTCTTCCTTGACCTTGCTTCTCCTCCTGGTGCTGTGCCAAGCCACCTGCCTATGCTGCTCCCAAACTCCTCCACCCTTCAGCTCCCTCTCTGCACGAACATCCCTCCTCCTGCCCTGCTGAGGACAACCTCTGAGAGCCTTTGTTCTCCCTCCTTCCTAGGCTCAGTGGTGGATCTCCTCCCTGTTTTCTCAGCTCACTCTGCCAAAAAAAACTTCATAAACAGACTCGAAAATCGGAATATTCCCTTTTTGTCCATATTTCCTCCCAAATCTTCACACCTGGGTGGTGGGTATTGCCCAGGACCGGCTGGGTTTATCCTTTGAACCTGCCACTTCCCCACCAGGCCCCATCCACCTCACCTTCTGCCACAGTCCTGGGTGAGAAGAAACCCAACTGTAGGACATAGAGGGGTCCCCCATCGATGGAAGGTGAGGAGCTGCTGGCAGAGCTGGACTTCAGCGCTGGTGCTATTCCCACGCCATGTCCATGGTGAGAAAGTCAAGGCCAGGTGAAGCGAGGTTTGGCCAGGAACTTCCCCACCAGGCCCCATCCACCTCACCTTCTGCCACAGTCCTGGGTGAGAAGAAACCCAACTGTAGGACATAGAGGGGTCCCCCATCGATGGAAGGTGAGGAGCTGCTGGCAGAGCTGGACTTCAGCGCTGGTGCTATTCCCACGCCATGTCCATGGTGAGAAAGTCAAGGCCAGGTGAAGCGAGGTTTGGCCAGGATTTGCACCCAGATCTCTTCTGAGCTTTTATTTATTGGGCTAAATCCTTGCAGACTCCGACCTGAGTTGCTCTCTGACAGGTCCTGAAAAAACAGCCCATCCTGCTGGAGCCCATCAATTTATTTTGTTGGGTATGGAAACGGACATGATAGAAGAAGGGGCTGTGACTCGGGATGCTCTTGTCTCCACACCAAACAGAACTCAATAGCCAGACCACCCCTTTCTTCCCCAAATGCCACCACTGCCTTCACAGACCCCTCTCTTCCCCAAATACATGATTTTTCTGAATCTTGACCAAGCTCCCAGCAGGGAAAGCCCTGTCATAGGCAGGTTACTGGCTAAAAAAAATGCAGGGTAGGGATAGGAGCTCCCGTTCTGCTGCAGCACATACAGAGATGACATTAGGGTGCTCTGCATCCCCAGCCGCCCTTCGAAGCTGAATTCACTGAGATCCTCCTCTGCAAGAATGAGCTCCATGAGACGCTGAACAACCTGTCCCACTGGATGAAGGACGAGCACACGGACAAGAGTCTGGTAAGGTGGAAGAAGATGGAGTGGATGGGGGGAAGGACCTGCCTCCTGGGCAGAGCTGAGTGGGATGCTGGCATGGAGATGATGGTGCAGGTTGGGAGCTGCCCTGCAACAAAGCACCCCTGATGTGGTGGGTGTCCTGCAGGTGATGCAGCTGGACTCTGCCTTCATCCGCAAGGACCCGTACGGGGTCGTGCTCATCATCGTACCTTGGAACTACCCCATCTACCTCCTCCTGGCGCCCCTCATCGGGGCCATTGCTGCCGGTGAGCTGAACCCATCCCCTGGCCCACATGATCCAGGCAGGGCCGGACACTGGCAAGGGAGTCTGGCTGGGAGCACAGGCTACAGTGTCAGAAGGGCTGGCTGTCACCATGTCGCTGCTCCGATGTCCTGTCTATCCCCCTGCAGGTAACTGTGCCGTTGTCAAACCCTCAGAGATAAGCAAGAACACCGAGAGGCTCGTGGCTGAAGTGCTGCCCAGTTACCTGGACAAGGTACGAAGCAATCGCTGTTCAATGGCTGGGGAGTCCCCACCTGCTGCACACACCAGGCCGTGCCCTGTACTCTGCTGACACTGTGCCTGCCTCGCACGCTCCAGCACCACACCATCCCTGGTTTCGGGTGCTGCTGTGCCTCCTTCCTCCATGCTCTGCCAGTGTCCACATGCCCAGCAGCCTGGGATGCTGTTCTTGGGGATGGGGACACAGTGGCCTGGGCAGATACTGACAGAGATGGCCCATTCTTCTTATGTTGCAGGACTGCTTTGCTGTGGTGACTGCTGGCGTAGAGGAGACCACTAAACTTCTGGAGAACAAGTTTGACTACATTTTTTACACTGGTATGTCCCATCGGCCAAAGCAGAGACCTGCCTGTTTTTTGTGCATAGTAGGAGAATGTTCCACCACTGTGGCTTACCCTGCCCATCAACGTGAGAGGGTGGGCACCCTCCCTGCAAACAGGCCCCCTTCCCTGCCCTCTAAGAAGGCAGGGTTTGTATTTGGGATCTGGTGGAGGATCTGAAATGTGGGTGTCTGGTGGGAGTTGGGGCATTTCTCCTGTACCTGGCTCCCCAAATTGTCACATCCCAGAACTGTGCTGTAGCTGGTGGGATCCTCACCATGATGCATCTTTTCCTGGTCTTCAGGCAGCCCCTCTGTGGGGAGGATCATAATGACAGCTGCTGCCAAGCACCTGACGCCGGTGACCCTGGAGCTGGGAGGCAAGAACCCCTGCTACGTGTCCGACACCTGCGACGTGCACAACGTGGCCCGACGGGTGGTCTGGGGCCGCTTCTACAACGCGGGGCAGACCTGCATCGCACCTGACTACATCCTGTGCAGCGTGGAGATGCGGGAGAAGCTGCTGCCTGCTCTGTGTAAGGTCATCACTGATTTTTATGGCCCCAACCCTCGGGAGTCCCCCGACTTCGGCCGCATCGTGGAGGACAAGCAATTCCAGCGGGTGCAGGCACTGCTGCACAGCGGCCGTGTGGTCATCGGAGGACAGACGGACGAGAAGGAGCGCTATATCGGTGAGGGCCTGAACTTCACATAAGTCTTCATCCTTGTGAGGAGTGGATTCTGGAGAGGGTCTCACAAACGGAGGAGAGGTTCTAGATGAAAGTGACATTTAGGGAAGATTTGCACAGGAATTGGGAAGCTTGGTGAGGCATCCTATCTTGGAGGAGGTCTTGGATAGAGGACCAAGGTGTCATCTCCAACCTTTGTGTGTGGCTGATGCCTTTGGGTTTCTTTCTCTGCAGCTCCCACTGTGCTGGCGGATGTGCTACCCTCTGACCCTGTCATGCAGGAGGAGATCTTTGGGCCCATCTTACCTGTTATGACTGTGGCCAGCATGGACGAAGCCATTGACTTTATCAATAGCCGTGAGCGGCCGCTGGTTGTGTACGCCTTCTCCTCCGATGACAAGGTATAGCATACAGGCTGTGGGAAGCCAGGGCTACGCTTGCTTCATGCTCCTTGGCAAGTGTATTCAACTGTGTTCATGCTCCAGAAATTTTCTTCAGAGCAGACAGCCCTGGCTTTGGGGGAAAGATTGCAGCTGGATGTACAGGAACAGGGTGCAAGACCCACGTCCACCTTCTTTGCTTCCTTCCCAGGTGGTGAACCAGGTGCTGGAGCGGACAAGCAGTGGAGGTTTCTGTGGCAACGACACCCTGATGCATGTGTCATTGACCTCGCTGCCCTTCGGTGGGATTGGTAGGTCCAAATTCCCCAACCTGCCTGCCCCTGGCCAACGTGAGCCAGGCGTGATCCTACCCATGGTGCCTGAGCCGTGCTGGCCATGGTGAGGAAGGGTCTCAGGGGAGAGGGGACACCCAGGCCTGGGCCCCAGGAGCGGAGGGCTCAGTGGTGTGTAGGGAAATCCTTCTGCACCAGATAGGACCCCACCAGAAGCCCTTTGCTTCACTGCACCAGGGCTGAGCTCTTGGGCTTTGCAGCCCTCTTTCTGCTGAATGTGTGTGAAGTGCTGTGAGTTTTCTTCTTTCCTTGTCTGCCATCCCAAGCACAGTGTTCCCTGGGTATGTGGAAATATCTTGTTTAAAATGTAGGGAATTTTAAATGTGGCCACCACAGAAACATCTCTAGCCCTTCCTTCCCACATGTGGTGCCTCTGTAGGCTGCTGGCAGCCAGCCTGTCACACCCACCCCGCTGCTGTGCTGCCCCTTTTTTCTGCTGGAGAAAACTTTAAAATTATCACTTACCCACAGTTTTCAGGAATTTGGAATTTCAGTTTTTCACGGATCTCCATTTTTTACTCTGGTTCTGAAGACAGGACTGCTTTCTGTGAGTTACCAAATGTAAACATGTGCCTTTAGACAAACTTCTGAAGACCGATATTGCATAAAGCCATTAAGGAGTAAACAGCAGAGGATCCAGATCACAGCCTAGAAGAGATACTATTGAGGGTTAGAAATTTGACAAGCATTTACTATCAACTCATCTCAGAACTAACAAATCACGCAAGGGTACCTATTTTTAAGGCAAAATTTATTTATATGTGCAATTTCTGATGGTCCCTCTGTTTCTTCTGACCTATTCTGGATGGCTACTTAGGCTGAACAAGAAACACCTCCAGAAGTGCTTCTCCTGGCGAGGAAGGAGTCTAGGTGATGGAGACACCCACTTTTGATCAGATAATCTTCACTTTCAGCTCCTGTTCTCCACCCAGCACTCAGCCACTCAGCTGGCCAAAAGCCATCCACTGACCTTCCTTCACACTGGGGTTGCTGAAGCCCAAGATAGCAAACGTAATTCATCAGCTTGACCAGGATTTGCATTGTATCAGGAATATGGACTGGCTCGAGCTGACTCACAGAATTTTCTCACACCAGATGTCAGCACACAGATAGATAACCTTATTTTCTGCCAGTCTGACTGGCTTTCCCGTGCCACCTCCTGGCCCGTGAGCATTCACCTCCCAACAGCCATTTCACTCATCTTTAGAGATGGGCCACAGCCTCACCAAAGCCACCTTGATGATCATCCATCCCCTTCCACTCCTGGAGTCTCGCTGGCAGCCAGGCTGGAGTCAGCACGGAGGGGATGTATTTTGGAGGATATCCCTGCAGTAGAAAAGCTCATCCAGTGGGAGCATTTTTCTGCTGCCGCCTGCTCCAACACCACATTGTCAGTGATACCCTTCCCAGTTGTTCTGGTACCAGGAGAGGTTTCACAACCAAAAAGCCTTTTTTGGTTAATTTTTTTTTTTAATAAAGAAAGTTTGCAGAATTAGAGTAAGAAGAGAACAGAAACTTGAGATGAGATGTAGGAAGCACCCGCAAAAGAGGAGCTGAAGATATAGAAACAAGACTAGTTTCCTTTAACTGAGTGTTTAGGTGTTTAAACATTCATGGAGACGGGGACACATCTCCCACCATCCTCGAGGGCATCTGTTAAACAAGATGTACCTGTTTCAGGCTGGTATAAAACACAGATTCCTCCCCAGAGGGCAAGCACGGGAGGGCAGTGACCAGTGGTCTTGCTGCCTGTTCTCTGCCGTGCTGTGCTGAATGTGTCCTCTTTCCTGGTCCCCCCAATCCACTTCTTCCATCCGCCAGTGAAGTGCAGACACCTGGGATCCTCTCCCCAAAACAGAGGGGTGATGCAAAACGCTCCCACCTTTGGTTTCCTTGGCCCAGAAACCCTCCAAGGCGCAGTACCTCCTGTTGGCAAGACAATGTGTTGAGAAACTCTTATTCTGTCAGCATTTTTCTGAGCCTGGTTTAACGTGGTGAGCTTTGCACCAGGGCTAAATGTGTTTCCTGAAGTGGTGAAATTGAGACTAACGAGAAGGTTGTTGGGAAATCTCCCCTCCAAGGTCCTCTTTAGCTCACTTTCTGGGGAAGCTTGGCCACAACCAGCCCTTCTCATTGACTTTGGTGTTAGAAAGCAGCTGGATGGAAATGCCATATAATCTACAGATGGAAGTGGTCTCCATTGCTGATGCCTCTTCCGTGCTGTCCTTGAGAGGGAAGCTGGGAGTTTAATTTTGGGCTCATTGGCCCAAATGATGGGTGAGCAATGGCCAAATCCAGCCACCAACCGGTGACCTGTGCTGTGTGTTGCAGGGAACAGTGGCCTGGGGATGTATCATGGCAAGTTCAGCTTCGATACCTTCACCCACCACCGCGGCTGCCTGCACCGCGGCATGGGCCGGGAGGCCCTTAACGCCCTGCGCTACCCACCCTACAACCAGCAGAAGCTGGGGATTGTCAAGGCCGCCTCTGAGGTGAAGCGCAAGGGCATGTGCACCTTGCTCTGAGTGTCCCCCACCGCCGCCATGATGTCCCCTGCAGCCGCTCACGCTGGTCCCGATGGCCACGTGCAATGAAAAGCATTTCCCTGCAACTGGTGGCCTCCCAGTGTCCTTCCCTTCCACCTCCCCTGCCTGCTCCTGCCTGCATGGCAACTCACCAGTCAGGGCATGGGATGGAGCTGCTGGCCAATGGCAGGGAGAGAACTGGGGAGGGGTGGATTCTACCAGCAGCTGGGGCAAGAGATATGGGCAGGGCCAGGGAGTCCCCCTGCCTCATACTTGTCCTGCACCCAACACAGGTCGCTTCTTGGCTCTGTGGGGTCCAGCAGCCTCCTGCTCCATCGCTGCTGGCCCCACTGAAGATGGGGCTGAAGTGCTGGTTGGTGGTGTGCTCTGGGACATGCCGGTGGTCACCTCCTGCTGTCCCTGCCCGACTCTTGGGGGAGTCTCCCTTGGGAAGGTTCACATCAATGTTTTATTCCCAAATCTTTGAGTTGGGATGATCCCAGTTTCCTTTGCCCTGTGTCCTGCACTTTGCCCTCCCTTCTCTCACACGGGCTGGCAATCTTTTCAGCTATCGGAGACCTTGCAGTGAGTACATGCAGCTGAACCTGGAGGAGAGGGACAGGTAAGGTGCGAGAAGGGATGGGGATCCTTCTGCAGCATTTTAGGTTGTGCTCTGTCCTCCAGAGCCCCTCTCTGCTCTGTCCTGGTTTGGCTCCATCCCGGTGGTTTTCTGGGCTATGTTCATCCTCTCCTCCAGCCCCACTAACCCCACCCCATGCTTTGAAAATGGAGAAACCAAGTCAAACCCAGCCCACTGCTTCTCAAGAACAAAATCTTATTGCACATGTCCCATCTAGCATGATGCACAGGCCCTGGAGAGGAGAAGGATGGACCAGGCCGCTCTATTCACCAGCTTAGAGGGGCTCTGGCTGTGCTGGGGAAGGAAATGCCCCTTCCTGCAGAGGGAATGGGAGGGCTTTGTTCGCTAGCCGGTCAGCTGCATCCCCTAGCCCACACTCTGGGATGTTACCCCATGGTCAGGTCATCTGAACCCCAGGCAAGTGGTATTTCCTTATCCGTGGGGTGGTGGTCGGAGCCTCCTTCCAGAATGAGACCCCACACTGGGCTGGTGAGCTGTCTGTGCGCAGCTGGGCTCTTGGGGAAGACACAGCTCATGGAGCACTGCATGGCTCGGCTGGAGGCCCTGTGATGCTTCCTGGATGAGAAGAAGCAGGACATCTTGGAGCCACCACCTTGGATGTGTGCAAGGTGCAACCACCACGGCCAGGGTGGTTGGTGGGGAGTGCTTCCCTGTCCATCACTTGACTTCCATCCTTCCCCCCCTTTCCTTCATTTATAAAACTATCTCAACAAGGCGTCTTTTGCTTTTGCTCTCCTGAGACTCCCCCCATCCCACTGTGGGGTGTGTGCTCAGTTGCTGGCCAGGGTCAGCCCGCTGCACCCAGGGCAGCGTGGTCTTTGTTTTATTGCTGTTATCTCCAGTTTAACCTCTGGGGATGCCCTTGGAGGGAAGGAACTGCACAGCAGCTCCCTCTGGCTGCACAGAGACGCGAAGAATTAAATCTGGGGAAGCCTTCATTGAGAGCAATTGGAGGCCCTTATTCCCATCTCCACCTCCGGAGCTACGTCTGCATTGCACCGTGCCTGGTGTAGCTGAAGCTTTTGAGATATCAAATCCATGTCTTCAACTGCAAACTGTGCGCTGGGAAGCTGCTGGCTTGGGGTAGCATGGGGCCAGGCAGTGTGCCATGATGTGGGTGACACACTGGAGGGATGGCTGTGCCATCCACCCTTGCCACTGCAAGGCCATGAGGTGTTCCTGGGGCTGTCTGCCCCAGCAGAGACGCTCACATCCTGCTGCGGCTGCCAGGAGGACCTGCTGACCTCTGCGAGGATGACCATCGCGTGGTGGCCATGGAGCTGTGCCCATAGCAGTGGCCACGATGACCCCCTGTGTGTCCCCAGCCGGCCTTTGAACACCGAGCTCTCCAAGTTCTCTTTGCAGGAGCAAGCTCAACCCCGCACTTGACAACCTAGGCACCTGGATGAAGGCCAAGCACACAGAGAAGAACCCGATCCAGGGTGGTGTCTGGCCAGGGACGCGTGAGATGGGAGATGGGTGTCCCTTAGGCCATCCTTTCCTCTGCAGGTGATGCAGCTGGACTTGGCCTTCATCTGCAACGACCCCTATGGGAGTACCCCACTAACTCCTCCTGGTGCCTCTCATTGGGGCCATTGCTGCCGGTGAAGCTGTGCTGTGTTCCTGCCATGCTGGGGGGTACAGAACCTCACCGGAGGGGTGACTCGCGTCATTCCTGGTGTGGGCATGGGGTAATGGTGGTGGAGCTGCGCTAGGGTCAGGTCTGCTCCCCAGAAGTGAGGTCCTTACTAGGAGGAAGCTCCCATCCTGCAGGTAACTGTGTTGTCATGAAACACTCTGACATGAGCAGGAACGTGGAGAGGTCAGTGTCTGAGACACTGCCCAAGTAGCTGGACAAGGCAAGAGACCCTCTGCTGTGGCCACCTGCCTC